TAGTTAAGTAAAGTAAACCACGACCTACCTCTCTCTCTCTCTCTCTCTCTCTCTCTCTCTCTCAGTTCTTGTGATTTAAATGATATATATATATATATATATATATCCTATATATACTAAGATAATTATATTAAATAATTTATTAATTTTATCACGTGTTCCTTTGAAAAAAGATGATTTGATCTCAATAAGAAAATAGTCTTTATTCTTCCTTTTTCTTATATCATTTATCAGATTTCAGATCAGACGCTACATTTCTAGAAATGTAATGTCTACTCGATTAAACGTTCCTCTTTTAATCCTTTTAAATCGCACATTATCGATTTACTCAATATGCAATAAGAGATACATAAATTTAAAAAATTTATTCTTCTTTTTTAGACACGACCGAAAATCCTATATCCCTGCGCCTGCAGCTTTACAGATACTCCAGCACAGTCCTGGTCAAATGTACACAATATTGGAGCATCGCGCGTGATCCATGGTACCGTCTACTCGCCTATAAATCACCGGGCAATGTAATATCGCGTGCTTACCAATGCACTTGCTGCAGCGCCGGTACCGTGTTTCTGGCTACGCAGCATCTATCCGAACGTAGGAAACAAACGAATCCCATTATCAGTACCGAGAGCACCGTGAATCCGGCCACCGCGCCGATAACGAGCGGGATCTGCGACAAAGAAAGATATTCTGTGTGCATCGCGCGCTAAAACATCTCTCGCGAATGTTGATTTAGCCTGGTAGTTTTTTTTCCACATGCATTTGCATATACGCGCGCACGTCGATCATATAAAAATATAGAATTCCTTTTATGGACTGTATGTTCACTTTGCGCGCAAAGTGAACATAGTCTACATTCCTTGACGTGTGAAATATCTTTTCTAGTTTGTCTATGAAAGGAGAGCTTACACGAAAAGAGTTTAAGTTTTAGACGTTAAAAGTCTTGGAAAGAATGAATTCGTAAAGCGTTACGACTGCAACGTTTACCTGGCCGGGCTCATCGACTTTCAGCATGAGCGCTCGTCTGTCACTGCCACGATCGTTCTCCACGATAACATGATACAGCCTTTGATCTTCTTTCACTGTACTTGTCAACTCCAAGATCGCTATGTAACAGTCCTCCGAAGCCAGTGGCTCCAGATCGAGCGCGCGATAGCGCGGTTCCAGAACTTCACCTGCCGATAATAGAACGACTCCATGCATCTCTCGATAATTTATCCTTTATTTCCATTTCTACGAATAACTGAAATAAAATTTCGCAAAATAACGAACACTCAGTTAAGATGCATTTCATACAAGGGAGTGATGGGAAATCAATACGAAACAAAAATCGAATCAACGAAGCATCATTAGAAAAATAAAGAGGAAAAAAATAAGAAATGAACATTAATAAATATAAAAATGACTTTAAATGGAATGTAAATTTTAAATGTAATGTGTATAAATAGTTCTAAATGTTGTATACGACTCTTGATAACGTAGGTGCGAAAAATCGGATTAAGAGAGAGTAATTAGTCGTTTAGTATCTCGAAAAATGAACCAGGTGCAAAAAGTTAACGGTGTGAGTATCTGATAGAGAGCATCGATTTGGGTCTCGCGGAAATTGGACGGATGTCTCGAAACGATCTCATGGCTCGGGTTACGGGCGAATGATCAATTAAGTAAGGGGGGTAATTGCGAGTGGCGGCACGATCGTCGATAAGGTACCCGTTGCGGAGTGCCAATTATCCTGGGAAGCATTAAAAAAATGTGTACGAAAGAGCAACCTCACGGCTCGAGTACTCTTTCCGTCGATTCAACGAAGGTGAAGGAAAGTTAAACGGGGATTCCAGTTTCATCGAATGAAAAAGAGGAAGAGGAGAAGAAGGAGAAAGAGAAGAGAGCGTTAATAACTACACGGTCGTTTGTGCTACTCGTTTGTAGTATTCGAAACAAAAACCAAAGGTAAAGTTTATACATTAACAGTTCGTTGGGCGAGGTGACGGACGTTTCGTTTCATGGGAACGCGTAACGAAGGAAAACCCGCGGGAAAAAGTTGGTAGCCAAGAGACGAAAGTCAAAGCAGGAATAAAGAAAGGTCGAGTCAGCCCAACGCGTCGCGGTCATAATTTTTCTACGTTAATGACGTGCTTCGAAAGTATCTCGTATCTCTTTCGTACACATGTAGCCCATGTTTCTCATGTTTACTGACACGTTTACAAAGATAAAGAGCGTGGGATACGGCTATCATTTGCGGGTAACTCGCGCGGCGAGCGATCTAGAGCGCCATTGTACTGCGAAGAGTAATAACAAAACGGCCGGAGAGATCAATGTTCCCTTAAACTCTAATAGAAAGTTTCCGCGAGTCGAGCCATTAATTCTCTTAACCCTTTCTCTTCTGGCGACCCCTTTATCGGATACTTGAATAATGCAAACCTATCGCTTTATAATAATCTTTCATCTTATATACTACCAATAAAGATCGAATATTAACTTCTTGCATTCTTTATATTACTGAATTTGATATAAATGGCTCATAATAATTCTCTGTTTATTTTTTTTTCAAATAATACAAATAATTTTAACTTGCCAATCATGTATTTTTATATATTTTTAGAAAATATTTTAAATTACAGAAATTATTGATTACGGACAGGTCTGACGACTGTTAAACTAACAAGAGGGAAGCATATCGGTCTAATTATTCAAATTGCGTACATACCTCTCTTTGAATGGCACGTTAAAGTAAATAAAATAGAAAAGAAAATTGGACTCTGTTATCCACTTTCGTCGGTTACCTCTGTTATTTGCCTCGAAGCGAAACTTATAATAGAACAACACATATGTGGGGGGGCAGGAAGCAAAAGATCAAAGCAAAGACGAAATCGAATACTTCTTGTGATAGTTTGAGGCAAGCAGTCTCTAACCGGCGTGCAGTCTGGTGCTGCCCCATTCCCAGGCCACGAGTCGCGGCTTCGGGTCGGAGCACAGTCTGATCTCTAATCTGGCCGGGCTACCCTCCGTCGTCACGACGACAAACTTCTCTGTGATGGCCGGCTTCACCACCTGCGACACATGTTTAACGTCCTTTGAATGGAAAGTTCGTTACCACGTCCCCACTTTCGCGGTTATCAAATGGCGAACGTGAGCGTCGCGGGCCGCTTTCTGCCCGACCGTCTCACGGTGGTCCACCAAATTTTGTTCGTTTCACGAACGAAATTTAGCTTAATACCAAAACTGACAGAGCGCGTGGTAACAATAATAAGAGAATTATTATTCGAATGAATGTATAAAAATCTTTTATGTTAAATATTCTATATAAACATCCGACGGATATGCGATAATGATGATTCACTAACTATTTGCGAAACGCGTACAAAAATTGCGTGCGAAAATTGAAACACTGATGAGCCATCGCGGCATTCTTTTTATTTCGCCGTCATATTGAAATCTGCGAAAGAAACGTTATCAGGAAATATGGCGGTATATCAATAAAAAAGAATTAATTTAGATACGAATGATACGTGACTAAGCATTAAGAATAAAAGCGAATGATATTTCGTTTCAATACAAACTCGCGGTATGAATATTATTTTTGATCGCAAAAGAGACTTGTGATTTATGATATACGTTATGATATAGCTTAATTCATTGTAATATAATTTTCTGTGCATTGCGAGATAAAAAGATTATCGTACGGTTACATTTTTCACTTCTTTTTTTTTTTTTTTTATGGATACGCTGATATAATTCGTACTCATTTCTGCAGTATCGTATTTCATAAAGCGTCTCGTCGATCGTATTCTGAAGTGGATATGTTCAATTTATCATTTTTGCGATATTTGTAACAGCGACACTTGCCACATTTGCGTACACATTGCAGTCATAATTAAAATTTTGATTTGATTACATATTGTATCGACATTTCAAACTGATTTTCACGTGCCATGCTTATCAAATAAATAACAACAATTTTTTGATTGCTTCTTTCGCGTGATATTCGATTCTCGAGACGAGCGTGTAATGAAACGTAGCTGTGATTGTGCGCAACAACGAATTTGGGAGATATTGACATTAATAGCACTGTCGAATTTCAATAGATGAAATGATTTCGTATTAAATGAAACGGAAATCAAACCTTTGTGTAGCCAGTGACCACGCATTAAGTTGCGTATATTCTGCCAGTAAGCAAATTTAATAAAAAAAAAATAAAATAAAAATAAAATAAAATAAAAATAAAATAAAATAAAATGTTGCGTATAAATATCAGAACCGAATTTTTCTCTCGTTATCGGCATTAATCAAATAATTAGCTATTCGAGGATTCGATCATTAAGCGAAATCGAATTGCGAAACATTGTAATATCATGATAATTGAAATATAATTTAATTTTTATTGTATATATATGATTTATTGTTACAATGTTTACGAGTTTCATTTGCAATCTACGTTTTTATATATATATGTATATAACCTGTATTTAAACATATAACATATGTAAAGAATTGAATAACGTCAGGCAGATTCTTTGCTAAATTAAATTTAATTAAAATTTGTTTGAAAATTTATTGCAACAATTATGCGTGCATTTATGATAAATTGTTATACACAAAAGCATTAAAGCAAGCCTTTCAATTAATTTTATCTACGGTTATTTTTATATATTTGCGAACGAAACAAAAACATATCTGCACCTACATGATATCGAGGCATTCTTTTGAAAGAAACAACGCGGTTCGTTACAAATAACGAAGATATCGATTTTTAATACCGTTTACATTATACAATAAAACTCAATGGCGTGCATTGTTGGCAACTGAAAAACTGAACAAAGAATCGCTATTAAAAAATGTATTCAAAGCTGAATACATAGGCATATTAAGCATACCATATTAAGCATACCATATTGTGTATACTGCAAAAATAAGGTCTGGATGTTGAAGTTTATTATAACTATGAACGCGTTCTTTTGTATAATAAGCAAATAAATAATAATATGATGTAAGATGCATCTGCACTGCACCAATGAAAATAATTTTTAACTACAATAGAAAATGGTTTACATAACAGTAGCGCGAAAAACCATAAGTTTTAATTTGCTTGCTAAGTTGTTCGTTTTATTAAACATTAAATCATTCTACGATCTTCCTTTTTCGACGCGAATTTATCCCACGTTGGTGCGTCTTTAACCCATCTTCAATATATCATTTCTCCGCAAGATAATGAAGCGGAACGAGATTGATGCGCGGAAGCAACATTTCTTCCTCGTTACGAACTACACAATCGACGCATTTTTTTTCCCCGCCGATATTACATTCGGACAGTCGAAGTTGAACGACGGACTTTAGGCGAAAAGTATTCGTGCGCGCGCGCACGAAAGATATTCAATGATCCTAGGATCCCGTAAAGTAATGAAGCGATATTTTTTCGCGACAGGTTCGCCGGAAACGTTATTCGTCAACGTCGGACCCCCCTCCCCCTCCCCCCCTCGGTAATTCTGATTTGCAGTGAAACTTTTTCAACGTTCCGCGCCGCGACGATGCGTCGCCTTACCCGTGGAGCGCCGACCACTTGCAGAGAGACAGGGTCGCTTTTAACTTCCCTGACGTTGCCATTGATCTTGTTGGAGGCGAGACATATGTATTGACCCTGTTGCTCATACGTCACGTTCGTCAGGATCAATCGCTGCCCCGTCCCGCATTCCAACGGCATGCGGCCGTCCGTGAATATCTGTGCCCATCTGCACATGCATGACCGCACATCGGAAATTTGCAAATTAAAGGCACTTTTGAATGACGCGAATTTGCCACAATAGATATATATACGTTAACAAAAAACTACGTGAAGAAAAAAAAAAGAAAGAAAATGACAATTTTCGAGAAAATTTTGCAACCATCAAGGTTATTAGATAAACTTTTGTAAACTGAAGCATAGCTTTTAAGAAAGTTAAATTGTTGAAGATTTAAAGTAGCCTCGTAATACTTAAAAGCAAAATATTTATTTGTTGCGGGACTATTATATAAACGCGCAAAGTCTAGAAGAAATAAAGACTAAATAATTGATACGGTTCACCTGTATTCGGCCGGTGGCATCGCATCAGCATGACATTCGAACGATGCTCCGGAATATAATAATGCAGTTGTTAATCGGTCTGGTCCGACCGCGCTGATCGTCGGTGGATCTATGAAAAATCAACTTGCTCTAAAATTGAGATTAAGCTATAAATAAAAAAATTAGTTTATACAATAATTTTTACTGACTTTCGCTCTGTACATTTTTAAAAATTATTACATGTATATTTCGCAATATTAGACTAGAAATACGGAGATTTGTCAAACAATCACGGTAGATTATTTAATAAGATTTTTAATATTACAAAAAAGCGATCGATAAAAACCATGATGGAATGTAAATCGGCTGAAAACTGTCACGTTAAAGTGACGGTGGTTTAGACACGTACAGTTTACGGACACTTGTACCGAGACTGGACTGCTCTCGCCCTCCATGTTCGACGCTTCGCAGAGGTAAACGGCGGCGTGATTTCTGTAAATTGGAGAGAACATCAGGGTCTCTCCGATACTGGCTACTTCCGTCACGCCAGGACTCTTCGTTTTCCTCCAGAGGATCGAAGCCGGCGGATTAGCGTCGGCGAGACATCGGATTTCCAGCTGATCGCGACCCTCCTCGAGCTGGCCAGTAGGGACGCCGACTAATCTTGTCTCCGGTGCGTCTAAATTCATGTGAAATGAATCGCAGTTAATCACGAGAGCTCTAATCCCCCGTGCCGCGCCAAATATGTATATCAATATATTGCAATATATGTCATGATATCTGCATCTCGTGCGGTCACTACTGTCTGCCAAATGCCGAAACTTCGCAGAACTTTGAAAGCGACCTTTGTTTATTTAATTTTAGAAAAATGCTACAACACAATTCAAGTAAAATTATTATTTCTCGAAAACGATTATCCGTCTGAAAATTATCATCTTCTATCATCTTTTACATTAGTTGAATTTTTTGAAATTGTTCTACAGCTTTAAATATTAATCAGATGTAGAGAGTCTATTCCTAACGGTGGATATTCACAGGAATATCTGTATAATCATAATCTAATTTCTAATCTAAATTAAACATCTTGAATATTATCTAATATATATTAACTAACGGTAATGTTACATAGTTCTCTCTCTTTACATTCGTAATCCATCTTCGGTGGATCGAAATAAAAAAGTAAGAATAAGCGATCCTATCATAGCGATTTTAATGAGAGTAGCGCGGAAATTACGTATAATTATCCCGGAAAAGCTCTTTCATATTCATGTCGCTCGGTAAACAAGAGGAATTTAAGGTAAAAGCGGTTTCGTCATCACTACCGGCTTTAATCGTACCGGAATCGCCGGTCGTGATGTGTGGGAGACCGTGAAAGATAAACGTTAGATATAGAAAACAAACGGCCGTCCGCGGCATAAAGTTTCCAAACTAAACCGCTCAATAATGAACTATTAATCGAAAGTTTCATGAAAGATCCATGGAAGTGGTTACTATGTTTTCGGAATTCGAGATTCCAACCTATCGTGTTAATACATAATAATAATATCTCAAGCTTTCATAGCGATAACTTTGCGTAATCAAACATAAAGAAACGAATTGACTGAAGAAATTAAAATAAAAAATTTGAAACATATATAAATTAAATTTTTTTATTTTTATATATTATCTAGTTCTTTGTTTTAAATATAATCGTTCGTATCGGGAAGGGCATTTTCGAGCGCAAATTATGCCGAGCGAAGGTATGTACGTCGTCATTATATACAAAATGAATATTCTAGCTTAAGGAGAAATTAAATTACGCAAACGCGGTCAATCGTACCATTGTTTTCCCGATGGGCCAAGCAAACTGGAAACACCGCGCTGACTTTGGTTTCGCGTATAACAGATGATACCTGGTGGACACGGTGGAAAAAGCGTGTGCCCGGGTCACGCGGTAATTACCTTCTTCGAATAATTAATTAATCACCGTGAGCGATGAATTTCGCGAAATATACTCGCGAGCAAGAACATATTGCCGCACAGCTCGTTTTAGTATTAATTTGTATACAATCGAGAAGTAATATGCGTTTTGCCATTCGAATTGCAATTTATTATCGTGTTTGTTATTTGATTTTTCAACAAGCGTAATCGACTGTTATTTATGAAGTTTCTCGTTTTTTGTTCAAAGAATGTACGTTATGGAAGTTATCACTCTCGGAACGTTTGTAATTGCATACTTTTTTACGTTGTAAAAGCATTGTTTAAATGCATTGCACTCGCTCGCCCGTACCGCGTATGAATTTTTTATATTACGCGGTATATAATGTAATGAATAATTCTTTACCTTTTAATTCGCGGACCGTAATTTCGACGGCATTCGTGCTTGATGATGCACGAGCTGTAATTTCGGTTGATTTTGATGGAACACTGGCACAGTTACGGTATCCTATTCACCGAGTGATGATGTAATTCATGTTTATTTACTCGATATTTATTTAATTTACGGCCGGTATAAACCGGAGCCAATTTTCATCAGCAAGCCGGCTCACTTCTGGTTTCCATATTCATGTAATAGGTCGTCGTTGCGGCTATTAAAAATGTTAAACGCCGTTACGTTTAATGAATAACATTATAGCATATGCAACGGGATGAGCTACAAACATAAAATCGAATTAATCCGCGTCGCTTTGAGAGCTAATACGACATGTTAGTCCACAACAATTAAGATATATATATATATATATTTGTTTATCGTAACTTTATTTTACATTAATTTTGTCAAACAACAATATATTTATTGTGTACCAATTGTACGATTATTATTATATTTTACTGTATTATTATATTTTTAAAGGCAATTACTTTTTCCAAGTTTAAACTAGATTTATTGCCCAATGAGACATAATTACAATTTAGAGAGATTGTAATTTTTAATCACGCTCTAACGTTTACGCATACACGTTACTTCTATTATATCATAGAGCACAATTAATGCGTTTCTCTGTGGATTTTCCCTTCAGTTCAATATAAGATTATATCTGTTCGGTCAAAATGCAATTAATTAATTAATTAATTAATTAAAGCTTTGATATGGAAGAAGATTATCGATAGACGAGTTAATTACGGCAAGCATGCATAATTGAAATTGAATAAAATCTGGAACAGAGAGATATCTATACCAAGTGAAACAGGAAAAGTTCTCAAATAATCATATATTACAAAAAATTTTTGTCTATTGAAAAGATATTGTAAAAGATATTGCGTTACGAATTTTTTATAAATTCCAATGTTTCACTACTTTCGTCCCGTCTCACGTAGTTGTGTAGAATTAGTTTGATTTTACTAAAGTCAATTTGATTTAATTGAATTTCAACTTTAGCAAACACGAATTTGCGTAACCGTGCTTGTTGAAGTACGCGAGATGCGAGGCAAAGAAAGATAATTTAACGAGAATAATAGTATAGCGAAAACATACGTGAATTGACATAGATTAAACTTAAGATTTTCTTTTAATAAGATATATACATAAGATTCAATCTTGCATTTGCAAATATCGTAAAAGAAACATAATGAATTAAATTCATACGTGGAATCTCCTTTGAAATTTTCTATAATAGAGAAAACAAAATTTTACAAAATTTATCACAAAATTTATTATTAAAAATAAAGATAATATTTTGAAATATTTTGTTAATTACCGAAACATTTTTACTATCGAAACAATAAACTATGAAAAGTCACAACAAGTCATGACTTTTCTTTCCCTCGAAGTCTCTTTCTAAAATGCTATTTCCTAATTTATTAAAAAATCATTGAATAAATTAAGACCGCGTTGTTTCATGAGTGTCAAGACGTTAACAATGCTTTAAAACGCATACATCATTCAAACAAGTAATCTGGCGCGAAGTACATTTTCCTTAACCAGAGCCGTAATTCATCGTTCCGCAATTCACTTTTTCGATCGATCGTGAAATCTGCCAAATTGTTCTAGGTGCGAAGGGAAAGAAAAGGTAAAAGGAAAGATGAAGGATGAAAAAGTCAGCCGGTAAACGCACCGGTGCCCGAATTGAGTCACCATTTTCGTTCGGGCGCGGATTGCCAGCGCAGCTGTTCATTTCACGTAACAGCGATTCCGAAATACGCGTGAGAGAGCAGTCGCTGACCCATCCAGAATTTTAGCCACTCTCTTCTACTCTTTTTATGCTGATCAGTATCGCACTTCTTTTTCATCCAATGTAAAAATTTGACGTGTAAATAGCTTACTTTCCAAATGTTTAGCACGAAGAAAGTATAGCATAAAAGCTGTAAAAATAAATCGAGAAACTGTCCTGCAAATATCTCGTAAAAATTAAATTTAAAAACAATTTCTTTTTAACGATTTATAAATGTCAATTTTTTTTTAAATAAAAATCAATGTATTGATTTTGTTTTAAGATTGATTTAAACCTATGTGTCTTTCATAATTGAGGCTTTCCTAATCTTTGTTGTCCGCGCTTCCATTCGCGCTTCAGAAATTTATTTTCGTCGAACAATTGAGCACGGTGTTAAGCTAATAGAATTAAACGCAGCACGTTATAGAAATCCAACGCTCCTCGAATATTTATGGAAATGGCGTAACCTAGAAAAATTATGCGCGGCGTCTGGAGCCATTAACGCCGTTGACATGGTCGGGGTAATTTTACCGGAGAATTTCCCTGAGTTTTTCCCTAAACTCGATTATCCAGTGTATACCCTGCGCATTTTAGCGCGTCGTGCCGAAATATCGATCATTCGAAAAATCTTTTATTCAGTCGGGGACTCTGACGTTATTTCCATATCCGCGTCTGCGTCGTTGTTTGAAGTTTACTCAAGAAACGACTGAGAATTACGCGCGAGCGAATAACAGTCGCTCGCAAAGCGCCAGATGTGCGCTGGAACACACCGCATCATGCTGAATTTACGCATCACAGAATCGTTGCGTGGGAAAATTTTTAAGGGAACATTTTTCTAACGAATTTTACATTGTGTCGGATGAATTTCTGACCGTCGGCACTTTTATTAGAAAGAGGAAAATATAAGTTATTAAAAAACAAGTATATATGTTTAAAAAAAAGATAAAAAATTTAAGTATAACTTGTAATAAAATGCTGCATAGAAATTAAAAATAAAAGTAAATTATAATAAATTTATAA